AAATGCAGCAACGCCATCAGCTTGTGTATCACACATCTGCGGCCTCGTCATGGCATATGGGCCAATTCCAAATATCCTCTGCACTGTGATCTTCCCTACAAGGGTGTGGCATTTGCATTACTATCTGTGCCACGGTTTTTTGGGTCGGCAACATTATTGTGACATACGCTCTGCCTGTAATGATCAATTCAAAACGCTTAGCAAGCGTCTTCAGCATATATTCGATTGTGTGCTTCATCTCTTGGATCTTTGTGTTCCTGAAAGTCCCAGAAACCAAAGGCATGCCTCTCGAAGTCATTACAGAGTTCTTTGTTGTTGGCGCTAGACAAGCTGCAGCTGTCAAGAATGAGTGGTTGAAACAGTTTGCGGGCCGTTTTTCTTTTATTTTCTTTGTACTTTACCGCAGGTATCGATGAGTGCTAAAGGTGTCATACAAGAATACCTTTGCATAGAGCATTGTTGAATAGGAATGGGTGCTAAAGGTGTCATACAAGAAAGGGTCATTGAATTTTTCTCCATGCAAAAAACAACAACAAATAATTTTTTCTGAGTAACGTGTCATAAGTAGTTATCATTATTAATGGGACAAAATTTGAGTAAATATAACTCCAATAAACTTTCGCTCCTAAATAAGAAAGCTGACACACATAAAGAAATTGCTTTAATATATATATATTTCAGACATTAATAACTTAAAAGCAATAGAATAACCCAGAATAAAGTTCGGATAGCGTAAATTCTGTTATATAGTGTTGATCTGGTAAATCAATTTCATATTTTCATATGAGCAAACATCCAAACCCATCTCCAAAATTGTCAAAAAAAAAAAAAAAACAAAGAAAGGTTCAAATCCGTCCTGGTAAAACAAGGCCTTAGAATCGAAAGTCAAGGACGCATCATAGGTTTACCAGTATGATTTCTACTTCCATAATTGCAAGTATCTTTAGCACCTGAAACTACAGGATTAATATTTTGATAAGAGATAATGCAAGTAGAGAAACTCAATTTTAGGTTTATGCCCAAACTGACTAGCCCGCTGGTGCTTTCACTATTAGTTCATTATGGGTTAGGCTTCCGACCTTCTACAGGATTTACTGTAAGTTGATCGGTAAGGATGCAACTTCAGTGAAGAATATATATGGTTATTTAGGGCATTTTATAGTGAAAAGTTACTCTCTGTTACCATGCATGCCATTCAAGCCGCTTCAAGCTTCCTCTCTACTGCCTCATGCTCAGCCTGAATACGAAATGGAACACCATGCTCCTGATACATATTGTTTTGTGCCAGGTCTAATCAATGTCAGCTGCAGTGGTTGCAAAAAAATGATTGGCTGGAATCCATCTGGTTGTATTGGGGTCTACATCAGGAGGTATGGAATCCGCGTCCTTAAGGAACACAGTTGGTCCCTTCCACTGGTATGCTCTAGATCTCCTTTTCTGATGGAAAGCTTGCTGCTGTTGAGTAAGAGTAACTGGAGCTATGCGATACACTTTTCCACACATCTCTACGGTTGAATTTCCCTTACCGACCTTGACCAATGGATTATTAAA